ATGTCCAAAGTCTAAGTTCAAATTGTCAAAAGATAAGCGACAATATTGCTGACGCGGACCAAGTAGTGAAATATTGTAATGGAACCTGTCACCCATGCAAACATGAGTGGGTTCATGCAAACATGAGTGGGTTGTTAATAATGCTGGCCAGGAGTCACAGTTTGCATTTGGAATGCTGCCTTATCTTAACATGCAGACAAGCGCACTGGTTGCTGGTGCAATTAGGTCGGTCGTGTTTACCACACATTAAATTCTGCGCAATAATGGTGTCAAGATTGCTATCCACAGAACCAGCTGAATTGACATACAATGAAATGGTTTTATCAATTTGGAAGAAACGCGATAACTTGGTGATGGACAAAGAAACTAATTTTTAAAAGTCCAATTCAGTTGGTACTGTTGGTACTCGCGACGATCTTAAAACTATTGTCTCCTCGCCACCTGTTCAAATAATGATTTTGATCTTTATAAATTTCGTGATTGATGAAGAGCTGTGTTAGCATTGCGAGGATGCAAACCAGTGTTGCCCTGCCAATTTGTTGTGTGCAGTGGAAGGTGATGAGTACACTGAGGGCTACATTCAGGACTACAATGAGGATGTGTACGAGGAAGCTCAGGCATAGCATGGGACCATGTGGAAATCAGCCGCTGTACGCAACAACCAGGCAATGGACAGTGCTAAAACACCAACCGGGCTACGCCGTGAGCTCTTATGGTCACTGTGACTCATGATGACTCATGATGACTCATGATGACTCATGATGACTCATGATGACTCATGATGACTCATGATGAACTGCCCAAGTCAACTGTTATAACTACATGCTACATCATAAACAAAATAGCTGTCAATCTTGAAGCACGCGTAGTATGATTTTAGGGCGAGTTGGATTCTGGAATCTCAGCATCAGGCTTGCCTCCAACCAATGCAATACTAACTATCGGCTTGCTCTCTGTGCCTGCAATTTCTTCACAAATTCCCATCCATTTTCCCATCCACTTTCCCATTTTTTTTTAGTTTGTATACAAGAGCTGAGCTAATAGTTCAGTAAAGCTGAAAATCCACCTCTTGCCGACATGCGAGACATTTTGGCTTTGAAAATTAATTCACTCTAATAATTATTTTCGCAACCGTGTAATACTGGTAGCTACGTAGAAGTAGTAGATATTGTTGAGACGATAAGCTGTAGCTACTGCTGAAACATGGCCCTGGCTCTCTCCCCATTCTATGTGTACAACACCGAGACAGCGCCCAAGCTGTGCTACTTGCGATAATTATTGAAATCGAGGCAGCGATACTCCGGTGGTTCAAGAATGGCTTCTGGCCCTGTGTAAGGTAAACGAGATGGGCAAAAAATAATTATAAGTCCAAAGCAAAAGCCCCATACCGCGACCATTTAGTGACTATACTGCTTTATCACATGACATCAGCTCACTGTAGTAGTAGTAGAAGCCAGTTGCCCACATGTACTCATTACTTTCAGGAGTGTACAAATACTGCCAGGCAAGTGTCGCGACTCATTCTGAGAATGATTACATCATTATCATGTTGTAACCAGTCAGGGCTATGAAATGTCAAGACAACTACGAAGTACTCTGACAGACAGGGCGACCACCTGCACAAGAGGACCACTACAACTAGGACTGCGGGATATGATTGCTAGCTAGTGTTAGCCAGTTAGTATCAGTATCGTCGGTCCGGCAGTGTCGTGCAATGTTATCGCATGAGCTGATTGTTTAGTGGACAACCGCTGCTTATTGTCCATCTAAACTGTCGTAGACGAAGTGTAGTGCTGTTTTACTGAGGCGTTTGGTTTTGCATGATTCTTGTTCGCATAGCAACATCCCCTTTTATTGATCTTCGCATCTGTTAAGTCACGCAAGTACCGGTAGTTGCGTGGAATGTTGCTTTGCGTCCTTGAATCGTGGTTTGACCGTATTGTCCAATGGCCTTGCCAGTATCGTCATTGACATGCATGAACATCCGCCAACGTCCTTCACAGCTGATACTTTCAGCTCATGCTTATCTTGGTTGCGCTCACCTTCCCCTCCTGATGTTATTTCTATAACTTAGGACCTTCCAAGGTGGAAGGCTGTTGGAGTGTGCATCCAAGATGTGCTAGAGCTGTTAGCCAGTCAGTTAAATGCAGAACGTCAGTACCGTCGCGCTCCGCGGCCCTAGCACCACACACAACACGCTGCGCACTTTATCCATAAGGTCGGATTTCTCTGGCCGTGTCTTTACAAAACTGCGGTACTCATGAATCCCCTCCCATGACCGTAGTATCTGCACTGCCTCGCCCTCCGGCAGATCTGAGTCGGATCATCCGACCCTGCTTTCCCATATCACCAGAGTTTTTTTCTTACGAGAAACCACGGACCTCGAGAGCAGAACACTGCAGGGCGGAGGCGTCTGCAGACGCAACTGTGGTGGTGAAACTGGAGCATCTCCGCCGACCTGAGGTCTCGGCTTCAGCGACACTTCAGTGCGCCAAAACGTGGGGAGGAGTAGGCACAGGGGGAGGAGGGGGGGGGGGGGGGGGGGGAGTACATTTATAGAGCATGAAAAATGGAAAATTACTGATAAGATACATGTGATAGTAGTAGAGTAAAAAAGGGGAGCCAGCCAGAGGTGCAAGCGGAGAGGGTGTTCAGGGAGTGTTCAGAGGGCATCTGTGGCTGAGTGCCAGTCTCCCACATTCGACAAGTATTAGTTGCAGTCCGTGGTCACCAACGTCTTGACTCTTGGCTTCATGAGGAACTACCAACACCGGCTCTGCCAATTCTCGACAACAAGGCCAAGTATGCCGTGTTTTTTTGTTTGTTTTGTTCTTTTCTACAAAATCCACATATCTCCAGACACTGGGCATGGGGTGAATAATGGAGTGTGGTGGTGGGGCCCATTAAGCTCCGCCGACCAGAGGTCTCGGCTTCATAGCTCCATGGACGCACCAAAGGGAGATTGGGTAAATGTAGGGAGGAATAAAGGGGAAGTGCATCGATTTTTCGAGTAGGGTCTAGAAGAAATACAATTAACTTAATTTTGATATCGGTTCGAATGGCATATCTCTCGCTTCCATACGATAAGCCAAACTTGCCAAATCGCCTCACGTTGCCATAGCGACCAGTGCAGTGATGACGTATGAAAGGCTTAGCTCCACCACAGAGAAGGTCGATCACTGCAGAAATTGGTCATTTTCAATTGTCTCATTGTATTCACGATGTGAAAGAAGTGCTGTGTTCAATGCTGTTAGTGCCGTGAACTGTTTATCGGCCTTCTCCTGCATTTCCCTAGGCTGACTGTGCCTAGGAAATGTTTTCCTCTAGGAGAAGATACTTGGTATTCGCCTTCTCTCCTGAGACATTTTCTGCAAACTTTCAAACCTATGACATTATTTCATTCGTCAATCTCCACCACCCGTCGTCTCACCTGGCTTCAGAAGATGTCACGAGAGATAGGAGAGTCGCCAGGAAGCATCACATCAATCTTCAGGAAGTGGAAAGAGCAAACGGCATGGTCCTTGGTTGCATGGGTAAATGCTGAACGTCTGATTTGTCCCAACCAAGATTTCAGCATTTTGTTCGTCACTATTGTTTGCTGATGTCAGAGTCTCCGGAGTTCAGCTTTCTCCTGTCGGTGTCACGTCCCAGTACTAGTACACAACCGAGACTGGGACTACTAACAAACAGTTCACTGCACTAACAGCACTGAACACAGCCCTTCTTTCACTTCGTGAATACAATCATATGACCAATTAAATTTCTGCAGACCTTCTCTGTGGTGAGCTAAGCCTTTCATACGTCATCACTGCGCTGGTCGCTATGGCAACGTGAGTATACAATTGGCGATTTGGCAAGTTTGGCTTATCGTATGGAAGCGAGAGATATGCCATTCGAACCGACATCAAATTGTCTTTCTTCTGGACCCTACTCGAAAACTCGAAGAAAACAGAAGTTAAATTCAAGAGGAGGCCGCTCTGTGCAGTCTGTGGGGAGAGATTATGTGTATCGCAGCTTCGTCCGCCCAGAGAAGTAATAGTTGAGTACTGCCCACTTTCATGATTGGGTGCGTCCCAGTTTACCCTGAACCAGCTGGACCAGGTACAGCACCGAGCCTAACTAAGTAAGTAACTAAAGCCTAAGTAAAGGGAGTAAAGCTCAGCGGCCCAGGGTCGTATCTCCCAAGCGTCACTGTTCGGCGTCAAGTCGCAGCACTCACATGCCCCGTACAAGCTGCATTGCCATTGGATTGATGGTCAGTTCTCCGTGATCATGGCGATCATTCGGCTGCCTATAAGTATAATGTGAGCCAGCCTATCGCCTGTGCCTGGCCCTGTGCCGCTGTGGTCCTGTGGAGCCGGGAGCAGTAAAATACGTTTAAACCTTTTATTTATACATGTACGACTTCCTGCATGCTGTGTAGTGCACTATTGTCTTGACAGTGTTGCCGTGGCCAAGACTCAAGTAGTCAAGAGTCTCCTTGTACAGTTGTAGTTGTACAAGTCACTGGCAAGTGCTGCTATGCTGGTGGTACACGTCCCAGTCTTGAACAGCTGGCGCGTCCTGTGTCTCTTTCAAGTAATAGTTAGTTAGTACTTAGTTACTGAGCCTGTAGTTTGATAGCGACCGTCAGTCGCTGTGGGAACTACACACGACACCGGTATACCCATCAGATCTGACTAAACTACTTCCAAAGATGGTCGTCCGTCGCCGCTGTACTGTTCATTTCGGCAGAGTGCAGCCAGTGCTGCTGCACAAGTTAAAGGGGCACTCCGGCTTCATTTTCGACGCCGAGTTTTCGATGCCAAGACGAAGGTAGGTGAAAGAGAAGACACCTCGAACAAGAACGAGTCTCCAGAAGCGATCGAGTCGAGCAGGAAGACGACTTTTGAATTTCGGCCGAGCGAGCGCTGATGACGTAATGAGGGATTAGCTTGCCAGTGGAAATGCATCTGCGCACATACATTTCACACACTTTTTGGCCAATTTTCAGTCGAAGAAGAGGTTGTTTGCTATGTTCTCCCAACGCTGTGAGCGATCCCGTCTTCTATACCCTTCCAGGTACCCTGAAGGTCCTCCAGAGGAGAATTTATCTCCATCAAAGCGTTGTTGATCCGCTAAATTCGTCTCGAGACATATTCACCCAGTGCAGTGCTGATAAATGTAGAATGTTGAATCTGTGATAATTGTCGACGATGGAGAGAGAGGCTGATAGCCGCTGTCGCAGGGAGAGTGAAGCTGCTGGAAGTAACAACAGGGAGCCCGTTTGTATCACCTGAACAACCAGACTTCAAAGCAGCTTCACCAAATCGGAGGGTGCCTCGTTGCTTATCGTGAATATTACACCGGCATGAATTACTACAAGTATACTGGTGAGTTTTTATCTTGTTTCTGTTCGTATGCTAGTACCCTGGCCTGGAGTTCTCGTTAGCAAATTCCTATTCCCTGGCGTTTTCTAAACATTCCGTGTAGGACTGAATACGTGATCAAGTATTCCGATTTGGGTAAATGTGGAATTTGGACATGTATTTTATTAAAAAAATTCTTTCCCAAATAGAGCGTTTGTAGAGAAATGGTTGCCCAAATACAACAAAATTTATTCTGCAGTTCTACAACTAACTTGTACTGAAATCCAGTCGAAGTAAAAATGATTCTTCATGACAGTTGGGGTCAATGAAATCTGATCCAGGCATAACGAATGGTGACGCCTGCCACCCCGGGAACGAATGCCCATTTGGTGGGGGATACCAAAGTACTCGAAAGTAGTGCGTGTTTCAATGTGGCATGGAAGTTTTATATGATCTCTGGTCAATGCAACATACAATAGCCATCATGAATTGCAGGCCTCGAACGCAACTCCGACCAGAATTGGCAGTTCCCTAAGTTAGATGCTTTATAATTCCATGGCCCCAGCTGTAGTTATAGAGGGTTTTTTGCACATTATTCTTATAGTCGATAGATTTATACTGATGGCCACAAACAACGGCAGTTCAAACTTCACTGATGTGTTCATGAGCTGAGAGATTCCTCTCCACTATTTCTGTTGTGCACACAGGTTTGTCCAATATGCATTGACCGTATTGGGTATGGTACCTGCTCTGAGAAGGGAATCGCTGGAGCCACAGTCCAACTATACAGGCTTTCAAGAAACAGAGAGGAGCCATCTTTGCAAGCTGATACCTGATGTGTACCGACAGAATTCTCACGAGATACCTTACAGACTACGCCTGGTGTATACTTCATAGTACTCCTTCGACTACTGTCTAGAATCAAGTCGACTGAAGCAAGTTCAAACAACTCTGGCTTCAAACGAGCCGTCGATTAGACAAACAAAACATTCTCTCATATACTAGAGCACTCTGACAACTCACGACCTATTCCTAACGATTGCCACCGCTTATAAATATGTAGAGTACTGATTGGAATGTGCTCACAATCTCAACAATCCAGTGCTATAATTATTTGAACTATGTGTTCCTTCCATAAATGTTGTATCCACATATAATCCACAGTGCTGCAAAGTTTCAGAGTTCTCAGGGTATCAAACAAAATTATTTCAAATACAGTGAAATAGTTCGTGGACATTATAGCGTAACTTGTAGTTCCCTGGTCCTTTTCTTTGCTATAAATTAATCCTTTGCTCTCTAGCCACCGGTGAGTCCAACAGTGAAATTGTTAGTTCATATGTATGTGGGTATGTGGGGGGGGGGGGGGGGGGGTGAACATATTTCTATATAAGGGACCTGCAACTGTAATACCACAGTACAGTAGATAGCAAATATGTAGAAAACAGAAATGCATGTTCCCATCATTGTACATGGACGGGCGCAGCAGGCCGAAGCTATAAGCCAGAACAGGATTTACAATCGCCTAGAGATACTTGAGCTTTTCCAGTATTCTCCGTGAGCTGTCCCATTCCACAATGGTTCATGCCACCATTATTTCTGGTAGTATCCATGTGCATAATTCCAAGAACATCTCGGATTCTTCAACAATTTGTGCCACGGCAAAAGACAACGCTTGACTCGGTCACTGGGGCTGTCAAACTTCACATCACAAATGAACTTCAATTTCTCATCTGGTTCAAGTATATGTACTGCCATGACTTGACCATGCTTCATCCACAGCTGGGCGAAGATTGTGGCGTTGAATTCCATAGCGCACCTTCTTGCTGCCATGCAGGAATATGTTGAGAGAAGTGAACATATTTTTACTAAAAAAACAACAGCCACTGAAGAGGATAGCATTAGCAATAGCCTTGGGTGAATTTCCTGCAGGTACACGTTGTTGGTAGGTCTACTGGTCGGTCTCCGTATTTTCAAGTTCAGAAATCACCTGTACTACACATCTTGTAGAAGGGATCCTGATCGAATAATTCTCTGATCATAAAATTCACTAAACTGAGGGCGAGACAAATAGTCAGTACTCCCCGATTCCGTCTAGCTGCTTTGATCAAGTGATGCTAACAAGCTCCCCGTTGTTACTTCCAGCAGCTTCACTTTCCCTGCGACAGCGGCTATCAACCGTTCTGTCCATCGTCGACAATTATCACAGATTCAACATTCTACATTTGTCAGCACTGCACTGGGTGAATATGTCTCGAGACGAATTTAGCGGATCAACAACGCTTTGCTGGAGATAAATTCTCCTCTGGAGGACCTTCAGGGTACCTGGAAGGGTATAGAAGACGGGATCGCTCACGATGTTGAGAGAACATAGAAAACAACCTCCTCTTCGATTGAAAATTGGCCAAAAAGTGTGTGAAATGTATGTGCGCAGATGCATTTCCACTGGCAAGCTAATCCCTCATTACGTCATCAGCGCTCGCTCGGCCGAAATTCAAAAGTCGTCTTCCTGCTCGACTCGATCGCTTCTGGAGACTCGTTCTTGTTCGAGGGGTCTTCTCTTTCACCAACCTTCGTCTTGGCATCGAAAACTCGGCGTCGAAAATGAAGCCGGAGTGCCCCTTTAAAGGAGCTGCATGTAGGCAGACTGACCGTCAGACGGTCTCCTACCATCCCCTCCATATCCCATATTACCACAGTCAGTGTGCTACAGCTGTAGCTGGTCCCAGATGGGCCCCGATCGCGAACAGACACATCACTACCGAACAAAGTGTGATCACACTTCACAGTGCTTGAGCGGCACGCAGTGTTCCTGAGACTGTGATCTTGCCCTGCTACTGTGCTAGCTGCACGACAAGACGAACCTGATGAAAGCAACTGTACTGGGCGGCAAGATGCTTGGCTCCCTCACCTCTGCCACCGACTGAACTGCATTTCATCTGCTAGTAATTGTAATTATTTGTTTTGTAATTATTTGTAGTACTCGACTTGTTTTATTCAAAGCCCCACATTTTTAAAGTGAATAATAGCAAGAAGGTACAAGAGAAGAGCTAGAGACTAGAGAGAACAGGGAAATCAAGGAGGAGTCGAGGTAGAACAGGAAAAGTCGCTTGAAAGATTAGAACATTGAAAGGATCAGTCACGCAATACGTGTAATTATTTGTTTTGTAGTGACCAGGGAGTCGTATACCCCCGGTAGTGACTAGTAGTAGAGTCTACTAGTAGTTTTTTTTTAAAAGTTAAAATAGAATTTTATTCAAGCACAATACATTGGGAAACTCCAAGAAATTCCACGTAAAACAGACGGAATTCAGTTTTCAATGGCCGATGCCTACCCCAGCACCATCCTGCGTCGTCTACTAGTACTAGTAGTAGTAGTAGTGACGCGTGACGGTTGTACATGATTATTGATTAGTCTACACAATAGGGCATCATACACGATACAGCCTCACCTGTAACTGTATGTCTACGTACTGTGCAGTGCCCGACTAGTACTAGTACTACTAGTAGTAGTAGTAGGAGGAGACAAGTGTGTCAAGAAGGAGTCTTCCTTCACTAGCGCCCGGGGACGCAATCGCCGTTGAACTGTTCCCGGGCGCCGGGCCATCGCATACAATCCATGATGGCTAGTATCGCATTACGACAGCGAGTAGGCTACTCGGACTTCGACATCAGTACTAGTACTACTAGTAAAGTAGTAGCAGTAGTAGTACAGTGTAATGTAGATCATAATGTCAGCCTAGTCAGGGTGAGTCTGAGACACTACCAGACTACTGTCAAGAACCATACACGATACAGCTATCTTCAAAAAATTTAATAATATTATTAGAGTTTTCATGACTCCCTACTTGACTTGAAAGCGTCGACGGCGGCGGATATTAGGGACCTTTCGCATTTGCTACGAAACGAATGCGAAACGAAAGTTTGATTCGGCTCGTAATCGTTTCGTTGAAAACAGATTTCAGGTTTCGCAAGTCGTCATGCAAATGTGCATGGCAACTACGAATACGGCCGCGGGCGCCGGTAGCTTGGCGTACGGGTTTTTACACGCACACGTGCATGGATCCTGGAATCAAGGGAAAAATGTGTACCTTGCAAAACATGTGTACCTATCCAAATAAATGTGTACCTGACGGATTCGGAGCGTGCCACGAATGAAGAGGCTTCCATTCGCGAAAACGAGTTCTCCGCAGGGACTCTGACGAATCCTCGAACCCAGGTGACGAATCAGCATTCGTTTCGTATCCGTACGCGGGGTGCGAAAGGTCCCTATTATAGGAGTGAAGACAACACACTACTGGTAGCGGTCCGTCGCCTCGCGTGCGACCGGTACAGAGTCGGAACCACTTGTGAAGTAAGTATTACTGTTACCAAGGTTACAGACCAGTGTTAGCTGTGTGAACATGGTGAAGGGGTCAGCGGATTCAGCGCCCCTGCATGGCTCCGCGAAGAGTAATACTACATGACTGTACAAGACTCAAGAGATTACTATGGACCATGGTACTACTACTACTAGTACATGACGACGACAAAATCACAACAAGGCTGCGAAGCGGAAGTCACACCTCTGCCCGGGACATGACGAGATGACAGGATTTAGGACGACGACGCGGCGAGCATCGCGAGGGCGACACGGAGAGCAACTCTGAGAATCTAGAAGTAGAATAGTAGTAGAATTTATTATTTTGATAGGGAAGGCCCTACAGACGTTGCCGTCTTGTTACAGGGAACCCTAAGTGCTCTTTACAGAGCGAAACAAAAACGGATAGATGCTCAACCTGACGACACGAGACAGGCAGAGAATTCCACCTATCAGCGCCAAGGAAAGAACTAACTAATACTTTTTTTAAAGTATAAAAATAGTACTGTACAAGTAAAATTACTTTTATATTATATATAAAAGTAATTTTACTTGGTACTATTTTTATATTATGTGATGCGGTACATGGGCCAATGATGGGGATGTATTTAATTTTTATCTGTCCCAGGACAAGTACTGAAGTAGTGGCCACTTGTGACTTCACAGTCATGTACAATCATGTACCATGGCATGTGTAGTACTTGTCTTTACAAATTAGGCCATGGTAAAAATTATCTTTGATTCTCAAGTACGCGCGCACCGATTTTTGGCGGCGCACCGATGATTTTTTTTATTTCTATGCATGCATATGCGCACATAAAAACGGTCAATGCGAAAGGCGTGAATCAGGGAGTAGTAAAATACCGGTATTTTTCTACTCCCTGGCATGAATAATAAAATAATTATAATACCCTGTGACGTTCATATGTGTGACCCTATCTTTGGAAATTAAAAAAAATGTGGGAAATAAAATAAAAAATCGCTCGCTCGCACCGATTTTCACAGGCTCATGACCTGAGAATCAAATTTATTTTTTACCATGGCCTTACACAACGTTTTTTGTCGCGAAGGTGGCGCTACTGATCTAGGCATTATCAATGATCATGGTGATCTAGCCTGCTTTCTGGCATAGCACGTGGCCTGGGTGTTGTGCTTGCTTAATTCCTTGAAAAGGGAGAAGGACAACATGTTACGAGTTATGACTAGCTGTCCACCAACGTAACCAGATCTTATACAGTCAGCGAGTGCGACAAAATGGCACAAAACTGACAAGTAGTACTGAGACATTCGGCGACCTGACACCTAGCTCCAACACTTCTCCAAGGCGCAAACCAACAACCTTCCAACTAGTGTTACTTGGAAGGCTCAGGTTCGGAAAGGTCCAAGAAGGGGATTTAATTGGCTCACCATCCGAGTTCCTTGTAATGGTTGGCTTCATGCTGCTGAGTATGGACCTCTTGTGGACTCCAGCTCCTGCTCATGTGGCAGAGAGTTACATACTATACTTTGTAGTATGTTCCTGCAACTAATAATTACTTGCTGCAAGTCCATATCTACAGTGCTGGCACCTGAAATCCGACCCCCTGGGCGGCGCGGCGCGCCGCCCAGGGGGTCGGATTTCAGTTGCCAGCACTGTACATACAATGAACTACTAGTATCATTGCGATCCATGTCTGGATGAGTTAACTTGCTATGTTACTTCAGTCATCATCAATGTACACTCTTCTTGTACGTGTAGATCGGCATATTCAACAAATCAAAGTACACTGAGTCCGTACATGTAGAACAAAGATTGAATAAAAACTAATTATAAAAACCTCGGGGGACCTCGGTTTTTATAATAGTTTTTATTGGTCATAATAAAAACTATTACTTTACTTTGATCCTAGAGGGTGGTGGCGTTCCCACGGCGGATGCGGAAAACTCGGCTTCCAGCCGAGTCTCACGCGAACCGTAAAATATATTTTATTTTTATTGGTCATAAACCCTCTGCCTCCTCATTTATTGTATACATAATGTGGGGCTTCGAATAAAACAAGACTCGACAGTACAGTAGTACTACTAGTACTACTACTAGTCTACATGACTGTACAATGTCATGCATTTGTTGGTTGTCGTCCGGATCTGTGCGTAGATCTACGACTGACTGGCTGGGCATTCGCTTCAGACAGTTCAGTCGCGAGACACAGTGGAGTATGCCAGTATTCAAGCCAGGGACTTGTGGCCCATCTTCACTATCGATAATAATTAATTATTATCATGATCAGATTATGGAGATTCTCAGTCTGCAGTGAATTAATATTTGCATGGCCCTGCGTGGCGCATGGCGCACCCAGACGCACCGACTGCCTCTGCAGTCAAACGCCGATGTAGATTGTAGTACAGTCAGTAGCTAGCTGAGTAGTACAGTCGGCACTTCTACATGCCTGATTAGGTGGCACTGATGTTGTGCCGTGCTAGGCTAGGCGCTAGCGCGCTGGTTGCAGACTGCATGACGGTACAAGTACCACTCCACTCATGCAGCTCAGCAAGCCAAGTCCATGTGCAGATCAGGCATATGATATGTGCATGGCAGTGGCGAAGAGACTCCGCCTCTTTTCATCACCTTCACACCCGCTCATCTCAGCCGTCAAGCTGGCAATGAGTTCTGAAGTGGGTCCACTTCTCACCCACTCAGTTCTTCCCTTCATAGCGCCAGCATCAGGCGCCGTGCATCCGCGACCGACAAGTGTCAACACCAGCAGCATCGCGGAGCCGACCAGCAGCGCCTCTTATGGGCCAAAATGTATGTGCACGTGCCCTGCAACATCGGTGTTTTGACACTGGCGCATGCTGAGTCAGTGTGTGAGTGCTGCAGAGGGACCGGTGCTCGCGTGATTCCCCAGTTACTGTAGTTGTCACCTCTTCGTGTCGGAATCTTGATCTCGATCTTCACAACTCTTGGCACTGTTGAGTAGTGCTGTAGGGATGAATGGTGTGAACAAGCCAGTTACAAGGACTGCTGAGCCTGAACTGAAGCCGGGAGATGGCATGGCTGCTGCTAGTAATGTTAACATGTCATTTTAGTCGACTAGCCTAGCGCGCTAGCCGGCCAGTACTAGCGGCAACGCTGTGCAGAAATGGATTCATGGCTGTACTATCAATCATACATAACAAACAATGCTATCCATAAAACTACTACTAGACACAGACTAGAGTAGAGAGACGATAAAGGATAGACACACGAACACGAAGTAGCCTCTCACCAAAGACCATGAAAGACCGACCTGACCCCCGATCAGTCTTGGCTACTGCAGTGTGTAGTCTGCACCTAGTCAGGTTTTGCTGCCAGCTAGCTCGGTGGCTACCCGTACCCACTGCGGACACAACTAGTACTGTACTAGTACATGTAGTCATGTACAGACGACATTGTTTTGTGAGTGGAGTCGATGCTTGCATGTGTGAAAGACTTAGGTAACGCAGGTGCACATACACCATCACGCCACTGAGAGTCAGAGCTCATTCACGTGGCACATTTTTTCTGAAGACACACACACACATAATGCAAGTCTGGAACATTACAATGCACATTCCTGCGTAACAATACTGGGCTATTTTGGAAGCCAGCAACCTCTGGCTCTGGCCTTTCTTGCGAGCTAGCTAAATCTCGGGGTGAACACAGAAGATTACTAGCGATAGTACGGACTCAGTACCATCGCTCAGCTGACATCCAGAGCGATGGCTCAGTCATAGACATACATGTAGGCAATAAAACATTCCAGAAAAGGCAGCTCATGGCCCATTATGCTGTGCACGTGCTGCCAAGGAAGCAGCACATCTGGATCTGTGAATGGTGAAGCACAAGGGCCAAGCCAAGGCAAGCCACAAGCAGGCTATGTTTACATTTTAGTTTTAGGATTTGAGATCTGGTGACTCGAGCCATGTAACTGTCCACCCACTGTTCTGCTGTACTGGTACAGTACCTGGTTTTAATTTTTGGCCCTTCTCGCCAACAAGCAACCTGCACAAAGAAGCTGCTTACATGTTAACGCAGACAAGCCTGATCTGGACTAAGCCTGGCTGGCAAAGAAACTGCTAGCGCTGGGGACGAGTCGGGACTGGTATGGGGTAGCATTTGCGCGTTCCAAAGTGTGAGATCCCAAGAGTTGGGTACACTGTACATGCAAGAACACAGGCTCCACCTTAGAACCCCTACTACTGCTCTCCCCTGTTGCCATCTACACCAGTTGTTTTCTCTCTCTCTCTCTCTCTCTCTCTCTCTCTCTCTCTCTCTCTCTCTCTCGATCGATCGATCGATCGAAGATGGTGTCTACTTTTGAAGTACAAAAAAAAGAGACAGAAAGCGCCATCCTCCTGTCTTTCGCATGGTGAGCAACAGCTCACTGGGAACATGCCCACTGCATTCTGTGCAACTGTCGTAACTGCAATGCTAGACTAATAATTATTATTACTAGTACCGGGTGTGACTGTAAGAATGTATTAGCTCCATGTGCTTGCGATTTGTAGACGTCTTCGTCATTGCAGTACACGCTGTCTCTCATCAACATTGTGTCCTGCACCTGAACGGCCGCGTGACTCCCTACACTAGGCTACAGTACATGTACAGTACTTGTATTTCCCAGGTTAGCCAAACCCATAAATGATTGGGTGAATGAAAACAACCCCAAGTCCTAAAAGTAAAAAGTCAAACACATTGCTTTATCCCTCCTTGTAGATCTACCATTGTGTTGTCTCTTCAACTAAGCAATAAGCTACGCAAGTGGCGAGCGGTATCATTCGGCCTTTCTACATGACAGCATAACTCACAAACAAGTGAAGAGGGTTCCTGGCACCTTTAGTAAGGCTTCTCTTCTTGCTAATCTTACCTAGTCTAATGTTTTGAGCTACAGAGTGCATGTGTAGTACATGCTCGGCTTCCTTTTGCCTCAGGGCACGTTCGTTAATCGTATTTCGGCAGCAGCTGATCCAGTCGAAAGGCGTGAAGTGTCAATCGATTAGAAACGAGTTTTCCTGCAAGTCTTCTAATCGAAAACTGAGTCTCACTGGCCCCCTTCCCATTCGGTGACTGCTGGATAGTTCGCCTCTGGCCTGTGCAACATGGTACGACTTTGTCCCGTTGTCCGCTCATTGTAGGTAAATTTCAGTCCCGAGCGAACAATACTGGTTCCAGTGCTTTCAGCATCATAGCGGTTCATGTTCGTGTAAACAAAACCTGCAAAGGTGGGAAAGTGCGAGAGTGTGAGTTTGAGTGTATGTTGTGTGACGCGTGTAGAGTAACAGTTGCCCAAGTGAGAACCATACACGTAGATGTACACGGCGCCTGTATGCCTGGCCTCTCGGCATCATTCTTGTGGTTTCACACCGTGCTCTTGTAGCTGTCAGTGTTCGCGCTTGCACGCGAGCCAGTGCAGGCAGTTGCCATCAACACCTGCAGTCTGCACATCCGCTTGACACAGTGTGAGAGTCCGTCATGCAGTCGTGCTATCAACCAGATGTACCTTCATGTACAGACAGTGCATCCAGGATGCGCCGGGTCATAGTCGAATGGCTTTGTAACAGCATGCAGGCCAGGGTGCTACTACAGACCGAGCAGGTACGCACTCACTGCATGGGAGATGTGGACAGCTCGTCACCAGGTTTCTGAGCGTCACTGATTGGCTAGCTGGCCAGCACGTGAGTGAAGGGGCGACGAGCACTAGCGCCAGTCAGGCTGCTCGTAGGGCATATGCATTCCTGAGCCCCGGTGGCGTCGAGATAATGGCTGCGTTCAGTGTACTGTTGGTCGTGTGCAAGACGCAGCAGGGTGGCGCCGTAAAGATGCATGTGTTCATAGACTCGCTGTCTTCCTCCTTTTTCTCTCACGAGGCGAAAACTTGACAAAGAATATGGGGGTTGATCGTCGGGCAGCTTTTGAAACCATGCTCAAGACTGCTAGCACGAGCAGTCCTTGCCGAGGTGGGCAGAGGATAAAACTTTTGTCATCCGTCACATAGCGCCATTTCAAACTTTTGCACCACGACGGAGCGATGGGCCTAAATTTTGGCGAAAGTAATAGCGTCGTCGACTCTGGTCTAGGTTCTTCTCCCACTCTTCAGTCTTTGATGGCTCTTTCGGCCAGTCCCGAGTCCCCAACGGGTAGCAGCCCAAGCCTAAATGATGGAGAATTCGAGGGGGACCACTCCACGAACGGCGCAAATTTGCGAGGCAACCTCTCCGGCGACCAGGTAGCAAACATTATCGCAACGGACGGACGTCGGCCATCTCGTCGACGAACGTCCGAGGACGAAGACGACGCAAGGACCGCTCGTCGCTTGCTGACGAACAGGCGTGAGCGATGGCGACAGCAGTTGGTGAACGATGCGTTCATGCAACTTCGAAAACTTATCCCGACATTTCCACCCGACAAGAAACTGTCGAAACACGACGTCTTGAAGCAGGCGAGTCGTTACATCGTTTATGTACAAACCATTCTCACCGACTCGATTGAACAACAGCAACGCGCAATCAATCCTGAAACGGCCAAGACCATGACGGGAAGCATCCGGGAGAAGCAGGATTGGCATTTCGCCAGCATGTACACGCATATGCCCCTGGGAAGTCCTACCCAGGGCATGGCAACCTTCCCGGGCTCCCTGACCCCATCGCGCAGTGCCGAAACACTCGCTCGCCAAGCTGTGGCCGAGACCTACCAGAGACCATCCAGCACAGCAAATTCCGGTGACTCTCCCGGCTACTACCCGGCCGGTGGTCCAGCAGGAGGGTTTCCCGGTCTGCCAGAGGGGCACCATCGCTCGACCGTTCCGCAAGCGCAGCCCGCGCGCCACATTTCCGCCACGTCGCCACCGTACTCCGAGGCATACGCTGCTCCTGCTGCCAACGCCAGAACACAAGCGTCAATGTCGAGCGGTGCTATGCATGAGGAATCTATGAGCCGTACCCAGCCTCAGGCTGTATCGCACGGGGTGAGTTTAAATCCACACACCAAATACTTCTTGATCTTGTCTTCAATCGGCTCCCTGTATCAGGGATGAGCTATCATGTACCTTTGATGCATCAGAATACCTTTAATATTGCTTGATGACAGAAGAATGTAAGTCTGCTCCATAAAGGGACTGACTTCTGGCACATTGGGGAGGACATAACGTTAGGTGGAAAGTAACGTTAGCGTTTACTAGTAACCCGATATTTCACGATATCGGGCTTCCCAATGGCACCTGAAGATGCGAAAGCCTTGGCTATGGTGTGTGTTTGGCTGCTTGAATAGCAATCTGACTCCCTATTTTCTCTGCTACCAACACCGTTCTGCTGGCTTTACTAAACGTGTTCATTTCTTTCTTCTTCTTCTTGCCATTGCAGGGTATGCGGCAGAGCATAGACGATCGCTCCATCTCCCCGCAACAGTCTACAATGCCCCCTGGGAACAACTTCTCTGGATGGATACACCCCAACTCGACCAATGACGACTCCAACGCACAACGGCACATTGATTACGGACACTTCCACGGACGCAGCACTGTCGAACACCCCAACACTGCACAGCCCATCATCTACTCTAGCCCGGGAACACACAACGAATCGAAGAACCACCACCACTATCAGATGCCACCATCAACACAGCAATCAGCCGGCCACTATAGCGACGAACGTTTCCGATACATTCCAGAACAACCGCCGCCGCACCAGGATTCCTACCACCCGAATAGCATGTCAAAAGCAGAGTCTAGTAGATCAGCCAACCATCGAACACCACCTACACAGACAGCCCATGCAGCTCTTTATTAGCCTCTCATTGATCTCCGAGGCCATCAGCAGAACAAAAATGCTCTGAACGTTTCCGTGTTCGTTTACTGTCGTCTTCGTCGGGTCTTGAAACTTGATTAACGTGTTGACCTTGAGGGGCGCTTTATTACGCTCCAGCTGTGAAAGTAAGTCTGCATCTTTTGTGTGAGCTACTTATTCTATATCTGGTATCCCTTTAGCCGATTCCTCTGCAAGCTGGTTTTGCGTTTTATTACCATATTTCCTACGTTTAAGTATTTTTACCTAGTCGGTCCACTGTCTGTAACCGCTTTGAAAAAGAACCAAATGATATCAAGTTGAGCTTATTCTCTGAAGGCACATTTCCTCCAAGGAAACTTCAAGCCAGCTAGCCATTGCTTGAAGCTTCTGTTTTGAGTGCTAGGTCTTAGAATGATGAGTAGTTTCTGTTTTTTTAGCCCGTGGAGCTGTTTCTTTGCTTGATCCTGACTTGCAATTCCTGGGTCCCGCATTCTCAGGGCTTTTCCAGTTTTCAATAAACCCTGATATACACCTTACCAATCCAACAACACAAACTGTGACTGAGTGTGAAAGCCGTGGAGCCAGGAGGTTGGTGAATGCGCACCTCAAACTGAACCAGCGGCTTGAGCGTGTACGCATACAAGCTCTGTGCCAGTGCCGTGTGTTCAACTGATTCAGAGATTGGGATGGAGGGTGTGTTGCTAATTACAATAAGGAACCCGTTGACAGATGAAATGCACACGCCCATCAGCGAAACATATTCTTTCCGAATACCGCAGGCGTGGTAAACTGAAAGTCGACCATGCAGTAGTGTACAGTTTCAACATGTTCCCCGTTACCTTTCACACTAGCAATTGACCCAAGCTCTTGTATGGGTAAAAACAGTTTAGGATTGAGCTTGTAGACGAACACACCATATTTTCTTGGTATTCCAGAATGCATTCGATGTCACACTCGTTTGAAGTAATATGACTGTATCAAGACTCAAGAGTAAACAAGCTCTGAGAGCTTAGTTATTGGTGAGTCACAGTGTATGTGTCGCGATGGCTCGATCAGGGCCACGTTGGTCACCTGGCCTGCCTCTTGATCAGCTCGGTTTGGTTACTTCCACGTGCCAGCAACTCCCATTACAGGTACTACAGTTTGGCAGCACCGGTGCTCTAGTAAAACTCCATGATGTCTATGCATGTACACCAGGAAGTCGGATAGTATACGACTCCCTGGTGTACACTACAAAACGAAGGGCATTGGTCCAGGCACACAACGTACAAGAGAGTCGTGATAGCCAATCATGGCAAGAAAGAAAGAAAAATGGGAAGAATGAAAGATAAACAAGCAGCCAGCAGGGAGAGAGAGCCTATTGTACTACGTAACTCGTTTAGGGACTGAGAGAGCAGACCCAAATCTGGGAGATTAGAGGTCCTATAGCTACTCAATTATAAGTGGTACCTCCACTTTTAGGTTTGATTGAGCCATTATTGTTTCAATATAATTATTCACATCTCAAGTAGGATGACATACTCAATTGTAAGTCGCATCCTGTTCTTTGCTCTTCAAGGGGGAACATGGTACTACATGTAATACGGTTACTTGTACAACTATAAGCTCCCAGGGAGATTAACACTCTTGGTCATAGTATGGTTCACTATCACATCACATGTCCTTCACAAATTAAAATGGAGGACATACATGACCTACGGTCAATATAGAAACAGTGAGTACATAAAAAAAATTACACACTGATTCCTTTTTTTTCTTCAGACTTTTCCCGTTTGCGTCTTTTCCTCCCCTCAAACTAGTGAATGATTCCTTTCAAATGATTACAAGAAAGTCAACGCCCACCTGTGCCTTACCCGCTGGGAGTAGGCAACACTCAACGGATAGGCTATGAACCAAAGAAAAAAGACGAAAAAAAAGCTCTACAACTCTGTTCCCTCCTCCGTTCACTTCTTCAAGTTGACTCTCTGATATTGTGCATACATGTACTTTTCCCCGTAATCTATCCCCCCCCCCCCCCTGCGTATTTTCTGTAATCTTTAGTTTTTGTGGAGCGCTTGGGTTGCAATGAAGCCGAGACCCTATGGTTGGTCAAGCTGCCCCTGCCTCTCCCCCACCCCTGCCATTCCAGACATGTATGTCTCATCGCTGCCTTGCTGCTAGCAACGGTGCTGTAAAAAATATGGTGTTTTTTTGTAACAAAAAATTCTTGTATGGTTTATAATAATACCCTCTACTGCGCGCATGCGGGCCGGGACAGGTACAAGCAAAATTTCCCACTGAACCGGCAGTGTACGAGTAGTTAGTCACTGTCTCTCTGTATTTTATGACCATCTCAATCAGTTCACACAGGCATCATGTTCCAAAATAAACAAACAAACAAACAATATCCGCCACTATATTGTCACACAACGGTATCATGGCATCTTTTGTTGCCGTACTGTTTCGTCCTGAAAAGCTACCGAAAGTGATGAACTTTTTGTAACAGTTTTCTTGGAGACAGAAATGAAATCAACGCAATATTAAAATAAAGCAAGTTGCGCAATCAATACACACATACCATTAGCACAGGTTACCTGTGCAAATGATGGGTGTATTGAATGCGCAACTTATTATTATTCTTAGGTCGTACATTTACATGTACATGTACATGTACATATATACGGTATTCAATGTATTTTCTCATCTATGAGCACAGGTGCCTATTGCCATATTCGCGAGTCTCTAAGAGATAAACGCAGGTCAAGGACACTTCGAAACATTATGCGTTGCGATGCGGGATGCTTTGGTACGTCGCCATACATGTAACAGTTATTGATAAATGTTGCACCTCAGTGGAACAGCTGTGGACCTCCCAATCCAGAACGCCGGCCAAGCCTTGAAGATAACACTGAACCGTGATGACTTTTCTCTGCTAGAGGCATCGGTCTAAGCAATCTGTATGAGGCTGAAATATCATAAAATAATTAAGCGGCACTGCCTCCAGCATAAGCACGGTCTCCATTCAGTGGCGCACTCAGGGTCGGTACATTGTAGAGGAGTACTAAACATATTGAATGTACCTTCAAGCGTGCGTGAATATCATGCCGTGAACAGAAAAATAAATGAATAAAAATAGAGAACGTACAGTATCATGCATGGTTTACCTGTCTAGCAGGCCAGGGAGTTGTAAATATGGTATTTTACGACTCCCTGATTCTAGCACTAATAGTACAGGTCATGTACATGTACAATGCCATGTAGACATGTTTATCTACTACCATGTACATGTACATGTAGATATACGCACTCGAATCTTAGAACTTGTGGAGTGACTTCAGAACACTGGAAACGTCAACACCACCGTCACATTGGCACATTGCCTTGAAGGACGGGGTTCAGATTTGCGCAGTGTTGTTCATCATAAGTCCATGATCGAAAATAATAATAAAATGAAAAAAATCATACTCACACATTCCCACACGACACGCACAAACAAAACACGAAAGACAGTTCACACACGCACAACAACAACAAGACAGTGCCAGCGAAACTTAGCTCGCTGAACGACAGACATCATCGCTCTCCAACAGGAGTGAAGCTCAGTATCACACGTCCGTTCATTGCCGTCAGAAACGAATCCAACGCCATCAGACTTGAACTAATGAGTGAACGTTCCTGGACCAAGTAAAAATAGTTCGTGTTTTTCCTTTCCCCAGATTATCAGGCAGATATTCTGCCCCCATTGTTACTAGGGAAACGAGCACAAAGTGGCGACTTGACGGTACGGGGGGGGGGGGTTACGGGCGCCGCGCCGCGTCAACACCCGATCCCCCCCCGCCCCCCCCCCCCCCCCCGGCACGGCCCCGTACGTGTGTACGTGACGTGCGCACGTGCGTGTCTCGAGATCCAGCTACAACTAACTTACAAGTACGTCATACCATGGTTTTTTTGAAGTTTTTCTTTTTGGTTTTTCTCGACGAAAGCTTTTCAATTTCTTCCTGCTTGTTTTGATCAGTTTGTACTGGTATCAGTGCATTACTTCACTTCTATTAGAGAAAGGAAGATGCTCCCTTGAGGATATGTGGTGCAAGAAGGCAGCTTCCGCCGCGAGGCGCAGTGTCTGTATATCCAAGAGGTGTGTGTCGTATGCTGAAGGACCTGCAGCCCGACGAAAGGTTTTCGTCAATCAACTTGAGCACGATGTGGATCGCCAGGAGGTGGTGCAGTCCCATTTGCTTAAGCCCGTGGGCTTAGAGTATCGAAAGGAGGGTTTGAGAGAGCCCGACGAGAGCGGGCAGATAACAAGAGACCAAATTATCGAGGAGAAAATTGGAGAGCGAGCGTTCTCTCAGGATGATTATTTCAATGTGAACACATTCACGTCCCTAGAGGAAATGATGGCTGCAGGTGTTCACTTGGGCCACAAAAGAGCGACATGGGATTGTTGTATGCGTCCATACTTGCTGGCAAACCGTTATCAGACTCACATCATCAATTTGGATACAACGAAGTCTCATTTGGAACGCGCACTGCAGTTCCTCTGCCACTGTGTGTATCGTGGATGTCGCGTTGTGTTTGTCAACAATCGGCCTCACTTCACGTATTTGGCACAGGCAACAGCACGTGAGTGTAACGAGTACTTCATCACTGGTGAGTGGAAGACGTCTACGTTCTGCAACTCGCTTGGCCGGCTCAGGACGCTCAAGTTGCCTGATATCATGATCTGCTCCAGCACAACAGTGTCAGGGGAGCCGCTGAGAGAAGCCGATTTAATGGGCATACCAACCATTGCATTGTGTGATTCTGACTCCGACCCTCGCACAATTACGTATCCGATTCCTGCGAATGACGATTCCCTGGCATCCTTGCAGCTGTTTCACCGGATTTTCCGTGATAGCATCCAGCGCGCCAAGGAGAAGCGAGAAGCCGATCTTGCCATGATGAATCGCATCACGCCGCTGAACGTACATGACATAGATGAGACAGACAACAGGGTACAGACACTCCTGGACAGTGTCGAGGGTAACTTTGCCGAGCTGGATCGGAAAGGCAGCATGCTCCTATCTCAGCTCTGAGTCTGGAACCGATGAACTTGATGACCTATCTTCATTTTTGCTGATGGCTAGACTCCTGGCTTTCTGTGTAAAGAATGTAGATTCATAATTCCTTTGGTGCATTTTAATTTTAATTAATGTTAAGGCCAACGAAGTAAATACGAAATACGTGTACAGTGGTATAGGCCAGTGGGTGTGGGTGCGTACGTGTGTGTGATATATATATGTGTTTGTGTGTGGTGTGGGTAGGTGGGTGGGTGCTAGCTCATGCGTGTAGGTGTGAAATAGTGGCTTACACGTGAAGAACCAAACGGTCCAGATGATATTTGAGGTGCCCACATCCCAGCAGGAATTTGCCCGCGGAATCCTTGGAATCTTTGGAGGGTTGGGCTCCTCCAGTGCATTAGAATAGCATCCACCGGCACAACACGTGGTTCCACTGTGAAGTGCTGCTCGTTCTGCCTGCACAAGCCTAACTGGAGTAACATCTGCCTGGTACTGTAAAAGCAGAATTTTTCGGTGGTGTTTTATTTTCGGTAACCTTCGGTTCCGACAATTTTTACCAAAAATAGAACGCACCGAAAACTCGGTACTACCAGTACTGTATACATGTAGTACTACAGTCCATTCACAAAAAGGTGGGCCCTGGCTCTGGCGAGCTCCCGTATTAGGCGATTTTTTAAGATCTTATCGTACACAGTGCAGTGCTGTGAAATTTGAAATTTGAAAAAGGGTCCAAAAAGGGTACCTGAACTGGGGTTCGAACCGTACAATGCACTGTTGCAGGCAGGGTCAAACGGCCTGGATTTTGATGGGTTTTCCCAATTCAGTGCTCTTGGCCGTCTTGGGGCAAAACCTGGCCGAAATCCCATTCTTGCTATGGCTTGCTTTTTGGAGAAATAGACTTCAGAAACATAATTGGAAGAGGATTCCATAGGGGATTGCAGAAAAAAATTCTAAAAAACTCAACGTTTGACCCATTTATGGCCAAAAGCTAGAAGTCCATCTTTTTCTGACTGTAGTACACTTATGTCTTACCTGGAAAACGGGTTTTACCGAAAATTTCCCTGAGCCGCCGATTTTGGAGAATACCGAAAATATGACACCACCGAAAATTTCTGCTTTTACAGTACATCATTAATGCTTTGTCCATGTGTGTGTGTGGGGGGGGGGGGGGGGGGTCGGGAATTCTACAGACTCTGGTGTGGGCGGAAGTTTTACACATCTTCTGGCAGTACAAAGTGCCGTGCTTCTGTGAATGCAAAACTAACCCGAGACAGGAAGTTCAAAAAAATCTCCAGACTTCATTGCGTGCAACAAGATGTGATATCTGCTTGTAAATTAATTATTTGCCCAGAACAAATTTTCTTGAGAGATGTTGCTGCTGCCATGACTCGGACATTTCTGAGAACGTTCATTTGCGAAACTTCTAGTCTAGTGTGTGTGTGTGTGGGGGGGGGGGGGGTTGCAGTCTTTCACCGGGTTATCCTAGACCCCCCCCCATGCATCACACAAACAAACTATGCTATATCATGAGCAGCACATAGGGACTGACAGTGTCCGTCGCCAATACTACCGGTACTGTCATACTTGTTTACAGTTGATTACCCCACAAAGCAGCCAAGTAGACGCACACATTGACAGTCTGAGAGCAACATTAAACAATAATAATAATTCTTGTAAGTTTGAGTACAGTATCCTGTTAGCCAGGGGCACCATATACAACAACCAGGTCAACAAGCATGCACACCAGGCTGAACAGCGTGCTGCAGTGTTCTTTCTGTTGGGTAGAGCTGAGTCACTCAGTGACTGGATGATCAAAGATAGCAGCAATCAAACTGTGAACAGACGTTGGGTCGGAAAAAGTAAGAAAGTAGCCTAAACCAAAACTGCGTGCAGCAGATACAACATGATGATATCTAAGGGAGGGGACGGCGAATTTCATGCACAGACAAGACTAGAACAACAATAGATCACAAAAAGAAAAACAATACTGAGAGCTCTGAGACCAGTGTAGGGACGGGAACTATTCGGAATAATCCAGGGTACTAGCATGGCAGTTGGTCAAGGGGAAATAGTACAAGAGAGCAGTCGGTGTTGTGTGACAGCCTGGGTAAAAAAAAACAGAGTATTTTCCGGGAGTACATTGTCATGTGATACATATCTAGATGTGATGGGCGTTTGCATTGAACATCAATCACTAAATACCGTCAGAAAGGAAGAGAAGAGAAAAGAGAGCGAGAGGATGCGGTCATTTTGGACACGAGGTGGAGACAGCGGGGTGACGGACTGAGCAGAATACCTACAGTCCGGACATCCCGCGACCCTGATCAAAGTCAGCGAGTTGCTGGCGAATGGAGTGCTGCCAGCTATCCACGCTTCGCTGCCAATCATCATACGCTACGGCTGGCTGTTTAGAGTGCTGATGACGACTGACTGGTGTGCTCCCTTGATAAGACCAGCTATGGAACTCTTTCTGATGCACTGACCCTGGAAACACCGTCAGCCAGCGAAGAAAGAGAAGAACACACAGACAAGAATGAGGGACTTCACTCACTGGACAAGGACATAGAACGTTACCAAAGACGCTCGCTCTCTCCAGTTGTCTAGCAGCAAGACTTTAGCAGGCTGTCTATTCCCCCAAAAAAGCGTGTGCCAGTTTGCACTTTGTCAGTATAGCTGATCGTGGACACAAACAAATAGAGATCAACAAAAATGGCATACAGTCAACTTCGCTAATAACGACTGCGGATATAACGACAATTCGCGAATAATGACAGAATTGCCACGCCCAGAGCAGTGTCCCATCTAACTGTAATAATACAAAATTATAATGAGACTTCGGGTATAACGACACTTCGCGAATAAGGACACTTTTCTGATGCCCCGCCGAGTGTCGTTATACGCGAAGTTGAGTGTATACTACGGAAGTATGTTACCATGACTATACCTGCTCTGGATGGGGTGTCAGTGAGACTGCCTGTAGTGGCGTTGGAGCCAGTCAAGTCAGACTGAAGTGGGTCCAGCCTGCTGGTTGCATGCCGCGACAGAAACGTGTACTGCGGACAGACGCCGTGCGACATCGGAACATCCTGCATCGAATCGTCGCCGGAGAAGGACGCGGAGGTCATCGGCGTCGTCAGCTGGCTGACTCTCAGCGTGCTCGGCTGATTGGAGCGATCGCCTAGCGGCGTCATCATCTGGTTTCGGCCGCCAGGATGACTTCTCCCTTCGTCCTCAAACATACTCACGCACCTGCTGTCCATAGGCTGGTCGTTTTCCTTTTCGACAGGATAAGACTGAGTGGTAGGTGCATTGCATAGCGTTGATGTCATCGGCTTCATGGTAATTCCTGAAAAAGAACAACACAAATGGCAATAGTGTAGTGGCCAATGATCAGAAAACAACAAGCTAAAATAAAGAGGCCAGAAAGTACTTGTTTCCACTAGGGTATAGAAAGATACGAAACGATTGTTAGGTGGAGTAACCAGTGGCCATTGTTGGTGACTTTGGGCTTGACTTGGTCGGGCCTGTTGAAGTTTCGAGGGCCTGGATTGAGTCGAGCACCGTGGACCGATTTTGCAGTATGTTGCCTCACAAGCAACATGGATGGAGATGCATTGCTAAGGCGACACGCCAATGCCATGACACCAGCAAAGCCGGAAAGCAATATCGCAATTGTTCACCCCTAGTTTGCACTCACTTGTCATGCACAGGGTGATAAACGGAGAAAGTAATAAAGAAATGGAGTCGCAACAGAAAGACAAGAGGAGCGTACAGAACCGTGATACCTTTCATTGGGCTGTTTTCTACATCAATCCTCGACTCCGAGTGGCTAGCAGAAATGGGAGACAAATCCAAGCTGCCGATCTGATCGAAGTCTTCCTCCTCGATGCAGCCCTCTGGCAGCGGCGTGAAGATGGGATCCTCCATCAAGCCAATCGGGCTGCTGTACAAGCCCATGCACTCTTCATGCAGGTGGCCCGTGGGACTGGATGAGCAACGGCCCCAGCTTGGTCGCCGGCTGCTGTCGCTTTCCTTCATGTCACACTCGTCCTCGTCTTCGCTGCTCATTGACAAAAACTGTCCCGGCGTAATGGAAGGTTCCTCGGTGTCAGGAAATCTGTACAAAGACATTGGGGAGATCATGATCAAACATCAGCAAAACTGGCCAGGAACAAGCTGTTTTGATTGAGGGCGGTGGCGTTCTTATTACTACGGATGCAGAAAACTCAGTATAAATGTGTCTTAGGTGAACTGTGGATTTTTTCCGCTCATAAAGTACTGGTATAAGTAAGGGATCAGAGTATAAACTTGGAAAGCAAACTATGACACTGGCTGTAATCTTCGCACCATAGAAAAGACTTGTTTAGGGTTTAACGTTGGCCCTACGACGATATTCGACGCGTACAATGATCAATGAGAGTGTGACGTAAGCCTCAGGTCACTACACTTGGACATTATAAATCTACAAATCCAACATATGGCTCAGTATCGAGTTTGCATACATCCCTCAGACTGCAGCACGCAAGTGTACGACTGTACTCCAATAGCAAAGCGCCACAGTCTCCACAGATTGAGAGTGAGCTATTCAGGTGCCTTGCCAACAGTGCAGTGATTGCTCATTTACAAATGTAACAAGTGCCACCATCATTCTACACTCAAGAGCAGATTGCGAATCTCTTGCAGAAGAGAACTGCATCTCTCACCGATTTGACTTGCCACCAGAGCCGTCTTCCCCCTTTAGTGACGGGGAATTCTCACGGCTGCCAAGGTCAGGAGAGCTACGGTCGCACGGGCCGAAGAGTTTCCGACGAAGAGAAGAGTAAGAGAGATCCTTTAGTTCGGCCATCGACTCCATTTGCACACCTTAAAAGCAAACATACGCGAACAAGACAGCATGATTGAACTCTCGAAAGCGGCGGCAATGTAAAACTACATGACACATGCCTTGGTGCCGTGTGGTCATTTCAAGTTTGTACATGGGAACACCATGATCATTGACAGCATTGTACTTACGCAGAACTGCTACCAAGGACAATAATACCACAAACATAGGATATGCTAAACCTGGAAACTTTTACAAGTGGGAAAGTTTCTTTATTCTCGCTGCGAGCAGGATTATAGCGTGACTTGTACTTCCTTGGTCCTTTTCTATAAATATCTCATGTAAGTTAGTGCTGTCATGCCAACATGTGTTATTACTTACTAGTTCAACGTATTACTGTCGTGCATGAGTCAAGTTGCGACCATGGTGAGGTGCAAATCTACCAGTACTCTTAAGACTGTGAACTAAAACCACCAAAGGTGTTTCCCGGTTCACAGCAGATGTACTGACACTGGGCAGCATTCCTTACAGTTTGGTGGAAGTGTCTCATCCGTCTCCATCAGTGTTGCTGACGTTTGGGTGCACACTGAAAATGAGAGAAAAAGGGCAGGAATTACGAGAAAGCATGACCCAGTACGAAGAAAACTACCAGATTACCTACTACTAGAAAAAATGACCCAGTGCAAGGAGAGAGAAGTCATGTTTGCTACAAGTACATGTATCGGTACTCCACATGAATGGTAGACCAGGCTAGCTATGCATACAGCAGCCGGGTCTATTAGTGTCATTAAAATCTCCAGTAAGTGTGTCCATCGCTCTGCTCCTCATGTCGGTCAGGGAGGTCTTTTTCAACACTCCATGGAGGAGTCTGATGAGTACTAGTAAGCATATACTATAGAGGTGAAACGAGTATCTATTTTGACCAACCGATCACTCGTTCATAATAGAGAGGTTCTGCACAACGAAAGTTCGAACGAAGTTTCGCGACAGGCCTTGCGAAAGTGTGTACGAATTTTCGCACGAACTTTGTGTTCTGCACATTTTCGTAGTTTGCACGCGCCAAGTGCACGTACGACATGACCCAATCTCACGAAACTTCCTACGAAAGTTCATTTCGCGTTCCCTGCAAGTTTCGCGTCCAAAGTTGCGAAAGTTCGTGCGAAGTTTCTCACTTCGTGACGTAGAGCGAAAGTTCGTACACATTTTCGTTTTGCAGAACCTCTCTAATATTCGATCGAGTATCCGATTATTTCGAGTATTTTATCAAAATTCAAAAGCGCTAGATTTGCAAGTTCTCGACCAATTCGGAAGAAATTATCTGTGAAAATAGAACAAAAGTCGCCAACGTCTTGTACAGAGTGTAAAGTAACGATTTTCATCAGTACTTTCATATCTCAGAACGTTACTTGCTGTGGTGATCGCATCGTCCAAGTCTTAAAATACTAACTCAAAGCCATGCATATTATAATAATAAACGCATGCATACCAGTGGACCAGCGGTACAACAAAAGTTTAAACAAAATACAATGCCAATCCTAAACAAAAACAAAAAAACGATCGAGTGCAAAATTTCGAATACTCGCTCGTTTGAAATTTTCGAACGAATACTCGAATATTCGAACTAATCGTTTCACCCCTAATATACTATCATGCAGTGTCTGATGAGTAAGCATATACTATCATGCAGTGTCTGCTGTCAACAATTCATTCTCACCACTGTGTCGTTTCATCTCCTCACTGACATCCATTGCCAAATCACAGCTGCTATCACCAGACGGGTAATCCTCATCGCGAGTGATATCTGCGTGGAAGGCACACGTGTACATGAACACAGGGAAGGTGGTGGGGTGAATAAAATATAGGGAAAGAGAGAGAGAGAGAGAGAGAGAGAGAGAGAGAGAGAGAGAGAGAGAGATGAAGCCGAGGGAGAGATCACACAACGGGCCACTACCACGGAAACTAGATCACCGTATCATCACAATGTCTTCACAGGCTTGTAAGTCAATGAAACACTGGTCTTACATTTCGTTGCTGGCGGTAGGGGAGAGAATGTCACATGCTTCACAGCCGTCTTTCTGCCCAAGCTCAAGCTACTGGTAACATACGGCGAGGCCACCACCTGCTGCTGCAAAAAGAACTGCACAAAAAAATAAAAAAAATAAACAAGAAGTAAATGCTGTGGAGACAACAATTTAATAATGGCTATCAACAACCACTGATGAGAGTCAGAAAAAAACGTTCTAGCTAGCTACAATGAGACTTTGTTGAATTTATGTTCATTGGAATGACGGCACAACTGCTTGAAGTAATCTTATTGATAGCCATGAATTAACCAGAAACGTAAGAGAAAATTGCGTCGCGTACTTAACACGAATCAATACTTTAGGCATGCCAAGCATACTAAAATGTCGGGTGTACTTTACTTGTAACCAGTTTCTATAATACAGTATGGCATTGCAGGATCGTTATTTGAAAACAATCACACCGTACTTCCACGCACAGAGCGCTAAAATATGAACAAAAAATGAACAAACCAATCACTCAATGTCAGATAGCACTAAGAAAGAGGACACACTTCAGGTTCTCAACAATATTTAAAAAAAATCACGAGCCTAATACAAGAATTCAAGAACTGTGCTCAATAATCGTATTGCAAATACGATTCTATCAGTTTGAATAACACTTATGGTGATCTAGGCAAATACCCAGCATAGTGAGAGCTCTCTCGCATGGCCATCTCAGCATCTACGTAATATGATTCGCAACCTCATGTACACGCCTTTACCAGATCTACCAGATTCCAGATTTTTTACTCGATCGCATAACTTGTGCCCACAATTTCCATGTTGACAATTAATTCTTTACCAGATTGTTTCGACATTTTTGCTCGAATAGTAAAGTCTTCTTACGTTGGTCTCGGCGTTCGAAAGGTGTGACACATAGTCAGAGAAATAGTGATAATGACGTATGAGCAGCAAATCAGTGTAGTTAAAGTTGTGGTGCCTCAGTTTTGCCACTTCACACAAAGCATCTCAAAAGGTGATGTAACCGCATGATGTAATCATTATTGTGTAATCGCATATGACAGATGTGACCAGACTTGAGTCATACATATACTAACCCTGTTGAGGGCTACTTGCTTAGCAGAATCGCGGCGCGGCCTGCGAAAGAAAAAGAGAGACACAGGCACAGAAATGCTGTCCTGACTTGCAATAGTAGAAACTAAAAGTAGAGTAAAACCTGTGATTAACGACCACCCCTTGGGGCCAGAGAAAGCGGTTTTAGTGGCAGGTGGTCCTTAGTTAGAGGTTTGCACCGCAAAACCATAATGTGAGACCGTCCGTGCCTGGCAAAGTGATCGGTAGTATTGTTGCAAAAGAAGGATCCACGAGCGGGATTCAAACCCAGCACCCCTGTCTTTCCGGGACAGTGCCCTACCGCTTAGGCTACCAGGGATCACACACACTCATGGGTCCTTCTTGCTACACTGCTCCCCCGCCCCAACAGGCTGTGTCCTCACGCCGTACCTACTCGCGGGGTACGCTGGGTCGTGGGTTCGAGCCATTGCCAGGCGCCAATGTTGCAAAAGAAGGATCCACGAGCGGGATTCGAACCCAGCACCCCTGTCTTTCCGGGACAGTGCCCTACCCATTAGGCTACCGGGGATCACACACACTCATGGGTTCTTGCTACAGTATCAGGCTGGTCGCTAGTCACGGTGGTCTTTAGTTACAGTTTTACTGTAGTAGCGACTTCGACAAGAATTCTAAGAAACTCGAGTGCTGAGCTCAAGCTTGAGTGTTGCGAACAACCAATTTTCCGACTTACAACGAGCACCTCAAATTTGTTACATGTCATGCGAAGCTCCAAAATCACGCCAGTGTCTGAGACAAATGCACAACAGAATTCAAGTCTATAACCACCTTGCTGCCAGACATGATTCACTATACGGACCATTGGATTTGAAACATATGCGCACAAAACAAAAACCTGGAAATGGCGTCCTTACGTGCAGTGGAACGCTTGTGCCGTCCTCTCATCGATATCAGCAGGTTGCTATGGACAGAAAACAAACAAGTGCTGTTACTGAACAGTGTACATGTACTCCTAAGTGTACACACACTAGATGTGTACAAGAACATATGACCACAAGAGTAGGCAACTCTGATCTCTAAGCTATGGGTGCGCTGCGCTACCTTCATTACGAACTGACCGGATTGGAATTACTCCATGGTTAATCGGAGAAAAATGCACTTTGAAGCAAAATCGTAGCAGATCAATAACGACACAATGATCCAGCAGGTACCCAGTTCGTGGCTGTGCAATGTGAGCTATGCGCCGCGCCAGGCCCCACGTGCAGAGTCGCACACTCCTGGGCTTATAGACTCTTGGTAGTACTCTAAGCCTCACAGTGTACCCAGGGCGGGGACCACATGGGGCCCCTTCTCAATAGCCAGTAAAGGATATAGCTTGCATTTGCTCTGCCGTACCCAAAACTGCATGGGCTCGATGTGTTGCCCATATAAGTGCATGTGGGGCCAATCGGACCCTTCAATTTAGCACGCTTAGCATCCTCAAGTCTGGTGTGATCGTGATTTTCATCGTGAACGATTGGCATCAGGAACCAGAAATTTGCCGCAGTCTGACCGGGTCCTTACAAGCCTGTACTGCCTGCCAGTATTGAGTGTGTATTGTGCAGCATGCAAGACCGAGGCCTTGCTTGTGCCAGGCTTTCTTCGCCAAAAGAGACACCCATGCCTGCCGAGCAATATGCATACCTTGCCATGCCAGCAACGCAGCAAGAAGCCTCTGGCGTTGTGTTCACACCACCACTGGCACCAGAACTACGGTGTGCCACGCACGGCAAACATACTTTAAATGTTACATAGCCGCGGGCGACATTGCGTACAGTCGACTCCTGATATAATGAACACCATTGCGCAGGAGAATTAGTTCTTTATACTAGTCAAAGTTCTTTCAACAAGAAATGCACTACACAAGCAGCAAATCATGACTGGCATGTGGCCCTTCAAGATATGGTTTATTATAAACGAAAATGGTTCGCTACAAAGGGTCAAGGGTCCATTTGGGTCGAACAGAGATATGGACAACAGTTCGCTATACTAGTATCGCGAAATTCACTACCGGTATGTGCGAGTTCGTTATAAGTGGAGTCGACTGTACATTTCAAGTTGTACTGTGCTCCCTCACATCGCCTTGCTTGAGCAATCTATTTAGTATGTCTACTCAAGAAAGTGTTATCTGCCTTGGTGTAATGCTTGCTGTGTGTGCTTCCCGCAGTCACGTATAGTTTTCTGACTTTGACAGTTTGGACAGGTTAACAAAATGGTGCTCACTAGATATCATTGCGATCGGTTCGGCTAGCCACTCTGAGCTCCGCTGATCCTTCCGCTCGACTAGCGGCCGGACACGCCACCGATGCAGCAGGGTGACTAGTACCATTTGACCTGTCCCTTCGGGGACTGCGTAGCCAGACTTGGCAGCAGGATCAAGATCAAGATGTATGTATGTAATTTATGTATGTATGCACGTATGTATGCGTGTGTGTGTGTGTGACGCGCGCGCGCGTGCACACACACACATTTGTGTGTGTGTGTATGGGTGTGTGTATGTTTGAGCGTGGGTGTGGATGTATGACTCTGTTTTCTCCTTGTGCTTATGCCTAATTATAACGGGGAGGGAGGCAGATTATTACAGCATTACAGTACTGAATATTGAATATTGAAAGGCACCAGGCACATGACTAAGAAAGATTATGGTAACAATTCTGGCACATGGATGGCGCATAACCACACAGTATTTCACATAGCATGTGACCTCACCAAGTTTGCCATTTCGTCAATTGACCATTGGAACCTCTGAAATGGGAAAAAAAGCAAAATCGAGAGAGAGGTACGGTTCAAAAATCAGGTGGACGCGTGCGTCGACCACTGTAAACAGAAAAGCTTCCATCAAATATCGGCATGTGCAACTCACTTTCTCCGATCTTGACTCCGCGGGTGTCTCCTTGTGAGTAAACACAGAAGGGCTAAAGTCCGGAAAGTTTTCACGGGCGCACGTGGACTCGCCGCTGAAAGGGTTTTGCAGCTTGGCAGGCTGTTTTGGAGTTGCCGTTGTAACGATGTCGCTCGTGATCGCCGTCGTTGTGCATCCATTGGTCTGGGTAGACCCCGGTGAGGCTCGCTGGTATCGAGATCGAGGAGTGTCTACAATACTAGCCATGTCTATAAACTACTGAGTAACTAGAGGTCAGAGATGAGAAGTCAGAGAGTCGACCAGTGCCGATGAAGAAAGTGTCAAACAGCACTGGTCGGCATCCTTACCAAAGCACTCTGCAACGAATGAACAAAACTCAAACAACCACAACTGGAAGTTTTCAAATCTTGACACCACTCGGGGGCGCAGCCGCCCGTGGCGTCGTAGTGAAGAAACACGTGCACGGTCGCGTGCAAGGGGAAACCCCAGAGCTACGAGACTAAGCTCAGACTATTCCATCCAGGAAATCGCACTAGACTGCCAGTGTTTACCAACAGAGTATTTATAAATTTAATAACTTAGTTGCTCTTGGTGTTGCTGTACACTGGTGTGGTCTACGGGCCCATTTCAAGAAAGAACGGCTGCCTTGTCTAATAGTAATACATAGTTGGAAACTGCAGCCGAAAATATCAGAATCGTCGATTGACTCGGTCAACATCATCATGTCAGCACTGTTCTACGTGACGTTTAAATACGTCGTCATACGAGACAAGCGATTGGGCATCGCCTACTATGCTATGACCCTCTGTGTGCTCTTATACGCCTGTTCTGAAATCATACTCAACAAGGGGTATCTTGAGGTAAGTGTTTTACTTGTATATTCTCCACTAAAAAGTAAAGAACTTACTAAAAAGATGCTGAATGGTGTGATTTCAAGTTGTCTGTACCGTATGTCTCACCCATGTACACTATGCACAATACATGTGCAGTGCACTAGTGCTGGCCGGAGAAATCCAACGTCATGAATACAGTAGCGCCGCGGTAGAGTGCACTGACCGGTGTGTGTAGGGCCACGTAGCGCCCGGTGCTATTTTATTCATGAGGTTGGATTTCTTTGGCCAGCACTGTATATGTACTTGTGTTTCAATTTGTTTACGCGGTACGCTACCGGGTTGTAGTGAAGGCTTCGTCTCCATATAAATTATGTCGAGTTTCAGTAAAACACTGTCTGCGCCTACCTCCACCAACAACCCACTTGAGCATAATCCATATCAATATAATTATACCCCATGTTCAGTGGGTGGGTGCATGATGACAGCCGTTGTACCCGTGCTGTTCTGCTACACTTGTGTATCGCAGTTATGCTGATCCATAATTTTTATATATATTTTATATTTTTTATGTATCGTAGTATGATGAGTTCCCGCTCGGTTCTCTACGGCTGCTGCTGAAGGATAGCAAGGCCAGTCATGCTCATGCTGAAACAGAACCTTACTGCTGCCAGGCTGCATCATCACTAGGGGATCAGAATGAGAACGAGCAGAGCGCATCCTGTCAACACTGCAGGCGTCTGGATGCCAAGGTGAGGAGGGCATACCGGGTGGAGTTTGGGTGCGATCTTAAAGGGGAAAGTATACCCTAAAATCAAATTTTCACCAGTTGTAGTCTTCGGGGTGCTGAGTCGAATGGTCTTGGTCCGAGGAAGCTGAGATGCTCCCTTCCTCCTTTATTCCCAATCGAACTCGCACACTTCCACCGAAACTGGGTGACTGCGCCCTACTAGATAGGGATTTGTATGGAAAAAGTCACTAAAAACGCCGTTTCGCTCTTATAAAAGCGCGGATGACCGCGATTGGTCCATATGTTGTAGTCTTTTGGCCGCTGAGTCGACTGGTTTTGGTCCGAAAAGGCTGGGATGCAGCGTTTGGCCCTTATTCCCAATCAAACACAGTTGAGTAAGCGGTCACGTGCTCATTTACAGCCTGTTCGGGCCCGTTTATGTCACTCGAGTTGAACCCTTGAACCAGGGAGTCGTAAAAGCCTCTTACGACTCCCTGCTTTGAACCTTTGAGTTGAACCTTGATGTGAAAATTGTAGCCTGCAGGCACGGTGACCAGGCGACTGGTGTATGGCCTTTCCATAACCTTGAACCTTCCAAGTTGGAAGGCTGTCGGTTAGCGCTACGGAGATGTGTTGAAGCTAGGTGTCAGGACGTCGAATGTCTCAGTACTCTGTCAGTTTTGTGCCTAGTTATTGCACTTTCTGACTGTATATAGTAGCACGTATTCCTTCATTTTTTCAAAACATACTTCGAATGTCATTTCATTTATGAGCCGATGGCTTTAAAGGTGCGGACATACGGTATGTATACTATATATGCAAAAGCGATCCCTCGTTTGCCCTCAGCATCCTGACGGCCCACTAGATAATGTACCTCTACTCTACCGAGTATTGGTCTGCGTCTGTCTCTCCTCGTGTGTGTGTCCAGGAGTTGTCCTGGCCAGTTGAAAGTCGGACCATGACCATATCAACATTTGTCAAGGACAAGTGGCAAGTGCTACATTCTGGCCAGCAGCAGCAACAGCATGCCGGCAATGGCGACGTGGAAGAGGACGGTTTCCTGACGGTGACGAAAGACAGGTCAGTAGGATTTAGGGAGTCCCGGCGACAGGTTTCTGAGACACGTGTGTGTGTGTGTGTGTGTGTGTGTGTCTTTCTGAGACACGTGTGTTTGTGTGTGTGTGTGTGTGTGTACGTGTGTGTACGTGTGTGTGTGTACGTGTGTGTGTGTGTGTGTATACATGTGTGTGTGTGTGTGTGTGTGTGTGTGTGTGTGTGTGTGTGTGTGTGTGTGTGTGTGTGTGTGTGTGTGTGTGTGTGTGTGTGTGTGTGTGTGTGTGTCTGAGGTGTGCATCAGCCTTGCAAGCTGTTGAATGGTGTAATCCCAGCACAAGTTGCTATGTTAGAAGTTGCTATGTCTAACATAGCTGTTTGCTATCATCGCTTCCGCGATGGGCATGTCTGAGTCTGAGTCTGAGTGTGTGTGTATGTGCTTGACATAGTGCTATGGAGAAAAAATCAAGAACTACAATGTCTATGTGCTCGGTGGCTGACTACTGCAGCACCATGTTTAGTTTAAGTGGCTCGTTCTCAAGCACATCTGACTTAGTGGTGATTTCCTGTTCGGTGATTGTGTCTGTATGCTCAAGCCGTTGTTCTCAGCTCTCTTCATCTGCCATGCATCCAGCACTGCTTGTACTATACCATAATTGCACAATCTCTCTCTCTCTCTCTCTCTCTCTCTCTCTCTCTCTCTCTCTCTCTCTCTCTCTCTCTCTCTCTCTCTCTCTCTCTCTCTCTCTCTCTCTTGCTCTCTCTCTCTCTCTCTCTCTTTCTCTCTCATCCCCTCCACCTTCATTTACCTCAGCTATTACCCGCTATCACCGGAATCACTTGTGCTGAAAGTGGAGCACTCATTTGTAGCCAGCCGCTTCACTAAGCACGGTACAGGCGAGGAGCCGCTTGCTAGCCCCAATAGAAATATGGAGGGCTCGCTCTATGCCATCAACGGCACGCGTCTGAAAACTATTTCCAGGGAAGGACAAGCTGACAAGGTTTGTCAATCGTATTGCTTTCATGTACGACAGGGAATAATTTAACCGGTATCGCATCGCAGTTTGCTACGCAATTCTTCTGAGGTGCGAAGCAACTTCAGAAATGTGTCGCAGAAAACTGCAATGCATGTTGATTTTCCACTGTACCCTATGATGCACAGTGTACATGCTGGGTGTGGCTCTTAGGGATGAAATAGATGCACAAAGCTTCAAAAGTGTTGAGCTCTGCATCCTGGCACCAGGTTAGGTTTGCAACTAAGGTGTTACGGTGTTCTTGTGGTCTGAGCTTGCACTCTGATCAGCTCTGCAGAAGGACAATGTTGTCAAGTGTTGAAGAAAATTGCTAAGCAACATTTTCGAATTGCTATTCAAGTTTGATTATGCGTAGCAAAACTGCTATGCAAAAAATGGAAAGTAAATTGTTCCCTGTACGAGCTCGCGTGATAGGACCTACCTGTTAGTGCTGTTAGCCTCTTATCGTGTAGTTTTGAAAACGAGAGCATTTCTCTGCATTTCACAATTCACATGTACATGTACTACACCA